ATAAGAAAGAAATTACTTCTGAAGGGTCTGACACAACCGTAAGATGTTAGCAACAACATCCTGTCTTGCCTGGGATATCTCAGTCACTTACTGTCTCATGTAATCTAACAGGAAAATTGCTGATAACTTTGCAGATGAATTGCATAAAAACAATGAGCTTGATTAAGATGCTGAATGCAAGTTGAGAAATCCTGCTGACTAATCTTGTTTTTTTTTTTCCCTTTCAAAGTCTAGGATCCAATCTAAACAACTACACTGCTAAACTTAGATATATGTATCTTCTCACTTACTCTCTCCCAATGATGGGACTGTACCTTCAGCCTAACTTTAAAACACCCCCTGGTGTATTATTAAGACAGTTATAAATTGGGATATTTGATTTATGTAGCTGCATAATGTCACAGATGAAATAGTTGTACTTCAAATGGGTATGAAAAGAAATTCTGTAATTGTAATTAGACAGCGAGTTGATGTAGTACATAGCAAGAAAAAAATACCCAGCCTCGTGCAGGACTAAATAGGCAGTCATCATTTAGTTCCCACAGACTTACATTCTTTAAATCTCAAGTTCTTCTGGTGCATAGAAAGTTCTCCAAGAAGGCAAAAAGAGTATTAAGTGTGGGGGTAGCTCATTAACTACTCATTAGAGACTCATAGTAGCCATATGTTACCTACATCAAGGTTTGTTGTGAGGAGAGAGAGAGAGAGAGAGAGGGTGTTTTTATCTGTTTGTTGGTTTTCTATACACTTTTCCAGGTAAAGATTATATTTTTTATGGACATTTTTTTTGCCTACAGATTTGAAGGTTACAACCGACAGTGCATTGTAAGATAAACTTGGATTTCTTGCTCACATTAATCAATGGGTATTTTGTAGATTTAGACAAGTTTCATTTGTCTCAGTTTCCCTCTTTGTATTACTATCACAGCAGTTTTGAGAGGAATATTGCATATGACCAAAAACAATTGCAATGCCTCTTCTGCAACTCTAAAGTTTATTTTAATTACAAGGTCAGAAAAGTAGTCTAGGAAAAGTAGTTACTGATGCATCGTACGCTTATTGACTGCCTTGTCCAGGTTAATTTCGGGGGAATATTCTGCAATGCAAGTTGGCCATGCATTCCTCAGGGAGATAAGCTACAGGAAGTTTGAAATACAACCAAAATTTTGATTCTGTGTCTTAAATATTTACTATAGGTCTAAGTGTTCACTTTATGCATAATTGTCTTGAGAATCATAAGTGTAGAAGGATGACTAAGTAGAAGTGAAAGTTGAAATGTTTTGAGTAAAAAAAAAATTTGTTGTTGTTTTGAGTAAAAAGTATGCTCAGAAACCTGGATTGCCAAGGTTTGGAAAAGTTGCTGTTTGAGAAAGGCTGCACTGGACAAATCTGTAATTCAGAGATGCCTAGAAATGCACAAATAATATACATTATATTTTAATTTCATGATAACCAACAATGAAACACTCAAGTTGCTGTTAAGGAGTACTCTTTCTATACGAAGAGGAAAAAAAACCTATAAAGGCAGAGCAGGTTATCTCTAAAGTTCATGATATCCAAGGTGTAGCTATTTTTCCTTAGGCACAAGATAACTTGTTAATGCCTATAGATGTTTCTACACTTCTAATACACAGACATTTCTGAGTGTTTTTCTGCCAGCAATGCTTTGTTTTTTTCAAATATTTCACCATACACTGATCACAGTTAAGCAATAGCTTAGTTTCAAATACATTTTCCCTGTTTCCTAGCTATTGTACCATCTACAGTGACACTTCTCTGCCTAAATATTCAGACTAAAGCAGGGCTGAGTAAATTTAAAGAAAAGTTTCCTTTTGGAAAGATCTTAATTTGGAAATTTTTTAATATTTGGAAATACTTTAATCCTATAAAGTGCTTTAAAAAAATCTCTCTAAACGCCAACAAATACTTGTATCAAATACTTCTGTTTTTATGGTTTGACAAGCAGCACCCCAAAGCCAGTACATAAAAAAATGCATTTTCATGCACAGACTCTTTATCAGAGATGTACAGTAATCTCTCTAATTTTGGGTCTATATAAAATGGAAAAATTGATGAGTGTAGTTGCATGATTCTTTTCCTCCAAATTTTTAGGACCCTTTAGAATGTGTACACCTATCCCCAAAATACTTTCTTTTGCTTTTATAGAGAAGTTTCCACCATCTTTAAGCATATCTCTGATCTCTTAATTTTTATTTAGGTCCTACTGACTAACACACACCCTGTTCCTGCTGGGAAAAAGCAGGTAGTAGACAAAATCCCAGTAAAGGTCAATGATTTTGTCATTTAGCTACTGCATTTTTGTGGTGCAATAACAAATGTTCAGTACTAGACACAACTCAACCTTTAATTACTGTGGCAAGTGGTCTCTTATTGCCAATCAATTTCTGGATAGCAGCATTACTGATAGTCTTGAAGAGTCTTGTGGGAATATTGTAAAGATAAACAGGGCTGTCAGCTTTGCAATTATTATTAAAAAAAAAAAAATACTAGATGACCTTTTATTTCCCCAGAAATGTCAATCTTATGTCTTTACTACAATTTATGACAACATACGAATGTCATCACCCAGGGTCTCTTTCTCTTCTGATTGCCAGTAAATGTAGAAATAATAGAGTTATACCTAATTGAATTTTGAAAGACCAAGGAGCAGAGCTCGTGCTGTTTTTGTAACCAAACAAAAGCACTCTCTCTTTGTATGCCAAAAATGAATGCATAATGTTATGAATCTGAAATCCAACTCATCCCGCTGGCTTTGTGTTCCCAGAGTCTAAAAATACAGCAACTTGAGGTGTTTTCTAATTGAGATAACAACAGTTTCTTTAAACTGCATAAACAGCATGTGAAAGCTGAATTGCTTACAAAACAACTCAGGGAGTGAAGGTCAAAGTATTTACTGTGAAAGGTTTGGTTATTAGATTCTTCCCCTCTTCTCAGTTTGACAAGTCACCGTATTTCCCATCTAACGATTATAGCACTTCTAGACTGATCTTGCCCCAAAATATAGCAAAGCTAATAGTGAGAGAAGAATACAGCCAGTGGGATTTGGTTTTCTTCCTGCACCTATCAAAGAAATTATCATTAATTGTTGCCTTAGCTGTTAGTTGTTATTAAGTTTTGTGCAGCTGCAATAGTAAGGCCAGCACCCCTGTGGATGAGCTCAGGGAGCCTGGCAGAGAAGGAAGCATTAAGGCTGTTGCCCAGTTCTTTCTCTTCTGATTTTAGCAGGATATTCTAGGATCAGAAAGGAAAATATGTCTGTTCATCTATCTGGAGTTAAGAAAATCACAACTCTACCTTTTTTTTTTTTTTTTAAATGTA